CAGACGGCAATAGCTATGGAAAGCCTTGCAGAGACCCTTCCCCATGCAGTCAACAGAGATACACACAAAGACCCATGGCTGTCCAGGTGCTGAGAATAAAGGGCAGAGCCTAGACAAGACCGGTCATAGATGAGACACCGATACCACCCCTTAGGCTCAGGAAACAGACACTGCAGAAAAGACAGGAAGGACAGAGACAGAGGCTGGGAAAGGCCATTTTCTAAACAGGACACTGACATTGGAACCACAGACTCACAGCAATTATCCAGCTGTGAACCTGCAAATCCGCCAGGCAATGATGGTTACTTCCAAACTCAGGATCATACAGACAGCACTGAGTAAACTAGAAGATACTAAGAGAACAAAACTAATAAACGGGGGGACATAGATTTATAGGGAGGAGCAGGGGAGAGAGTGGTTAGTGTGGAAAGAAAATGGAGTGGGCAGAGGGACCAAAGGTCACCATGTGTATGTATGAAATTATTAAACAAAATAAAAACCACTAAAACCAAAAATCACCATGTGTATGTATGAAATTGTAAAAGAACAAAACAAAATAAAAACCACTAAAAGCAAACCTGATAAAACGCCCCCCCATCTGTCAATTATGACTGACCCCCATGGCAAGTCATCTTACTCAAAGACAAACTAGTCAATCACTTACTAAGAACTTAAAGTCAGGAAGTTGTGGGGTAAAGGGGGTTATCCTGGAAGGAGGAAGAGTAAGCAAATTCTTGATTTCACATCCTTAATTTCAGCCCCATCTATATTAGCAAAAGACTGGAAATCAACAATGTCCAAATCAATAAAAATAGGTTAAACAAGTTAAAGCGAATCCATACAATGAAACACATTATATGCATGGCTACAGAATGCATTACTAGGCTTACTGACAGGTGTGTGACATGTTACAACTTGTTTTTTAATACATATGTATGTTTATCCATGCATGGAGCTATTTCTAGAAATATAAACAAGAAAGTTCCAGTTAATGAGGTAGTATTTACAACAGGAAAATTAGTAGCTGGAGGGTTCCCACTTTATAGACCTCAATCCCTTTAAGCTGTCTCTGATTTTTGTTCAAAATGCACACACTACCTATTAAATACACATACTACCTATTAAATGCATACACTACCTATTAAATGTATACACTACCTACCAAATGCATATTCTACCTATTAAATTCATATACTATCTAGTAAATGCATATACTACCTATTAAATGCATGTACTACCTATTAAACGCATACACTACTGACTAAACAAAATTTATAACTTTTAGTCTGTTCTTGACTCCAGGAAAGGCACTTGTTATGGGTTACACCGAATGAAGCTGAATGTACCAAGAGACAGGGGAATGTTTTCACTGCTCTAAATGATCCTGAGCTGTTATGACGTGTGTTATTATTTTTGGTTTCCTGTTTTCTACCAGCTATTTCCAACTACTGTCATTTAGTCCACCAAGTATTGCATGACAGCAAAGGGGAACTCCTCATAACACCTGGTTGAAGATTTCACACACGTTTGCAGGTGCTACTGAAGCCAAGTGGACAGTTTGGTTTAGTACATGCTATGCTGCTAAAGACATTTTCGGGTTTTTTCACTTATTTACTTACATAAATATAATTTTATTATTGTTGTGTGTGTATAGGATGTGTACAGACATACGTGCCATGGTATACATGTGGAGGTCACAAGACAACTTGGCAGATCCACCTTTAGTAGGTTCTCAGGACCAATCTGTTAACCTTGTATGACAAAACTCATCTACCTGAAAAGTCATTTCAATCACCTCAAAAAACACATTTGAGGCCAGGTGTGGTGGCTCATGCCTGTAATGCTAGCACCTGAGAGGCTGAGGCAGCCTGAGTTATAAAACAAGATTCTGTCTCAAAAAACATAAAACAAACAAATACGTATGTATCTGAGCATCTAGAATGCACTAGGGAATGTTCCACACACAATAAAGACAATGGGCAGACTCTCTTATGATTTATACTCTAATTGGTGAAACAAGAGAAGACAGAGCCATGGCATCAAGGAAGAGAAGGCAGCTATGACAGGGCTATGTCACACAAAATGCTGTGTCAGGAGGCGGGGTCTGACCTCAACAGGAAAGCCACTTCACTGTGTCACACTGGGATTGAACCTAGAGCTTCATGCATGCCAGGCAAGGGTTCTTATAGTTGATCTTTATACAAGCCTGGACCTATCACACACACACACACACATATACACACATACACACGCACACACGCACACCTTATATTGAAATAATTCTAAACTTAACAAAGATCAAAACTAAAACCAAACCTGATATATGATCACCACAAAGGGATCCTAAGTACCGCCCATCGTGCTGTTTCCCTCTTGAGACTGTATCAGCTATGTCGTGAATGGTTGCAAAGACAGGCCAGTTTCTTCCCACACCTCTGGGTGTCCTGGCACTCCTAGGACATGCCACGCTCCATATCCGTGGAGCTGTGAAGACAATTACCCAGGGTGGACGCAGGAAGGACACTTAGAGGATTGCAGGACACCCCCACACACACACCCCAACTTCACGGGGAATTATGTTTGGTCTCAGTTCATGGGTCCACCATGGGTTCAAAGACGGTGAACCTTCAACTGTGTCTGACTGCATATAACCATCCTATCATCTTAAATCAAAACCAAAATCCCCTAAGATCTGACACCACAGAAACCAGGTAGAAGAATGTCACAAATAATCGCAGTCCCCAGAGAATCTCGTGAGTGTGCCCTCTCCTGAGGGGAACAGTCAAAGGGGTCAGTGTTCTGCTCACACACAGGGTCCACTCTCACTAGCGTTATCATGGTTTGTGCATATTCCATTTTCATCAGATGTGGCTTGCTTTGTTTGAGATCATGAAGTTTCTGGCAGCAGAGCCCTGCAACCTGGACTTACTCTCCCTGTCTGGTCGTTCTCTAGGCTCAGGTACCAAAGGGACTATGCTTTCATAGCTGCAGAAGTTCCTTCCAGCTTTCGGCACACTTGCAGGTCCAATTCTGCCTCCATCAGCTAAGCCTGACTACAAACACTCATTCATCCCAGTGAGAAACTGCACAGTGGGGGCTGGAAAGACGGCTCAGCTGTTACAAACACTCGCAGCTCTCGGGGGGCTAGGATCCCGGCACCCCCAGCCGGGGGGTCTCTACTGCCCGTAATTCCAACTCAGGGGATGAGACGCCCTCTTCTGGCTCCACAGGCACCGACACATGCACAGACACATTAAAATGAAAAACATAGGCCTAATAAATATGTTCAAAAACGCATAAAGTAAAATAAGAATAATCAAAGGTCTGGTGAGCTTCAAAGGAGCATCTCTTTATTCCTACTCATTTAGATGGGTGCCTGATTTAGTCATACTGAGGTTAAGGTGTCTGACATACAGTAGGCATTCACATTATTATACACACCAATAAAGCCAAGCTTCTTCATATTTCCTTAAAGAAAGAAAACAGTGCTTAACAGGATGGGGTGTCCACAGACTTAAGTTTTTAATAATTTCAAAGGCATTGTCTGACAGGAGAAAGCCAGGCAGAGGAGGGACGTTTCACCCTTCTGTGATGTAGAGTACTAGTTATCTAAGAAAGAAAACAGACACCATTATGACAGGAGATACTTCTGTCCTTGGATCTGTTAGGTGATGGTAGTTCCCTACATTTGTTAACAACTAACAACTATTTTTCTGACTTAGTGACTGCTCTTCAGAGTAAAATATGAATTATCAGCAACTGCATACATTAAAAACTAACAATCCCTGCCAAGAGTTTTGCATATGCAAGCACATTGGTCCATGTCCACTGCTGTCATCTCACTCACCCAGCTCTCTGCGTAAGAGAACTGTTTCCAGTTTCCAGAACTTTCGTTTTGGCTTAACTAAACTATACAACAGATGTAACTTGTAAAATGAGTGAGATGCAGAGAGAGAAGGTTATAAGCACTCAGTAGGTGATAAACCTAAGATTTACCTTACACAACTTTGTATCAGCCTGTATTTCTCCATTACTGAGGGTATCAATGCTGTTAGAGAAACGCTTTAATCACGACTGGACTATATTACTTTTCCAATTTGCTAGCTGCAAACATGTTTTGACTTTAAAATGAAGCAGAATATTTTCATTTTCAATAAAACTACATGCAAGGGAAAAATAAAGACAAAGCCACAGATACTTTTTAATTGTGCTACATTACCTGAATCTTTCATTAAAAAGCTCAATTACCAGCACCATTCCCTGATTAAAAACATGGTAAGCAGATGAAAATACTTAAAACTAGCCAAAGGTAAACAAAAGGTCCAAACAACTTGACAAATATCACCAGAGTAATTGCCCATCAGTAACCACTACTCAGAGTTCTCATTGTACACAGTGAGTACTGACAACCACATAGCCGGTCTTTAATCAGGCTATTTAGAAAATTACACACTCAATCTGGGGAACACACACACACACACACACACACACACACACAGCTTCATTACAAAGGATTCAAGATGGCAACTACTTACAATCTAGTGCCAACATGGATTATAACAAATCCAGTGAGTATTTTGTTTTTCAATTATTCATAGAAAATTTAATCCTGATTAAGTATCCTTGGCCAGGAATTCATGGGTAGTTGACGACTGAAACCAACATTTATGTGAAATGCCTCTGTTAATTTAATCTGTGTATACAGCTTAATTATGATTGGGAACTCAATGTAAGGGAAATGAATTATCTCAGGATTAGAATTTTAGTGCCATATCATATACTACTTTTTCCTTCTTTCTTTCTAAACACAAAAGCCTGCTCGTCCCTTCACCCAAGTGCTCAGATTAAAAACCCTCTCTGCCCTTAAAACAATGTAAGATATCTAGAATTTCCCACACATTGTCCAAAATCCTTTCCTAATCAAAATAAAGCCTGATCTAGGGCCAACAATACAGGAGAAATTGCAGAATAACCCGACCCATGAATGAACAAAAGCTAACTCACTTAATGTTATTTATTTATTTCTTGAAATCATTTCATTTCCAATTCCTTTACATTGTAATGTGAGATGCGCATTCTTTAAAGCAGGAAAAGTGTCCTACAATCAGCACCCCCACTGACATCACGCCTGGGCTAGCTGGGTACGTGTAAGCGTGATCGCTTGAGTGGACACTGTTGAAGCCTGTCGGACGGAGTTCGACACTGATGAGGCACTGCAAGTGTGAACACCTGACCGCATGTCACTCGAGTCGCTCTGTCACGTTTATTTCCACATCACCGTGAAACAACACTCTCTCACAAGTTTACTGTTGAGTTCGTTCAGCGCGTTTATTACCTTTGAGTTTCGGCACTGCTGCAATGCAGTGCCATAATCAACCCACTCTGTCTTCGCTGCTTTTCACAGCAGAGGCACGAGACAAGTCACTGCGCCTGGACCCTTACTTATTGCACGCATCCGATCCATGCTCTTCCCACAACAGTCGAGCTTCAGAAGTGAGGGCGACTTTTGTGTCCAGATGAAACGGTCAGTGGTAGTGTCACTGAGGAAAGTGAAGAAACTTCCCAGTACAGACTGTGGGACAGGAAGAGTCTATACAGAATTACCATGGAAACAGACTGGCAAAGGATAACACCGATTGTGATAACCTGGAAAAAAGAAAAAGAAAGAGAATGTTCAAAGCACGCTGAAACAGGAAAGTTACATTTAATTTACCACGTGTTCTATACAGTCTAGCATCCTTCCCTGTATCACGGGTGTGTCTCATCAAACTCACACACATGGTCTAGCATCCTTCCCTGTATCACAGGTGTGTCTCATCAAACTCAAGTAGGCATATCTTCAGGACTGTGACTGTTCAAGGGTAAATTTCTTTTGGTGCTTAGTTTATAGATGCTACAGAACGAATGAAAAGTCCCTTGTCTCCCAAGTGTGTGCGTGTTACAGACATGAGTTTTGGTAACAAGAAAAATCAGGAATCTGACTACTTTAATAATAGCAGTAAGCATACGCCTGCCTCAAGTCACAGCTGTTTCTGTGGCCACACTCCTACTTACCGTCTGTAAACACTAATGGCAGGGTTCTGCTCGGAAATGCTGGAGCCACCTGCTGATGAAGGAGAGCAGGTTCTGACACAATCAAAAGTCAGCGTACGCTACTCTGAGTCCGTTACAGCAATGCGATCTTTCTATTCTGGCTGTTACCAGTACACAGTGAACAATTTTAATCATTTCTCTTTTTTAAAAAAAGACGGATCACATGTTCTCTAATTTAATTTATAAAACATGACCCTGAAATAGGCTAAGACCTATAAAACCACTTCCAGGGTTGGGTGCACGTGCTGCAATCCCAACACCAGGCAGGCACAAACAGGAGAACGGATTCCATTCTGAGGCCCAGGGCTATGTGTTCTGATCCTGTTTCAAAAGCAAACAGACCAACAAAAAACCTGTTTCTAGCATTCTGTTCATGAGCTAATTTTTTAGGTTCTTTTTATGTTTATAAACTTCTAATTTACAGACTCACCAGTTTTAATATTTTCTTTTGAGTTTTAAAGAACTCAAGAAACTTCTGTGTGGCCACTATTTTAACATATCCTACTTTAACATGCTCTAAATGAAGACTTGAAAACATTTTCATCACGCGTGTTGCTTACCTTATCTCTTTGGTAGTCATTAAATATTACAGCAACACAGGCGAGCACAGGCTGGCATAGGAACCACAAGATACAGCCCTAGAAGGAAGCGACAAGCCACTGAGATCTGCTGTCTTTACCTCTGAATGCACCAGATTAAAAGCAAAACCACAACACGGCGGTCCCGGCAGCACACGCTGGAGTCCTCTCAGCATGAGGACCCGTGGAACAGGAACACCACAGCTTGAGGGTAGCCTGGGCTACAGACTGAGGGCCCAGGCTGCAGCCACGGCTCAGCAAATACTTCCAGTGAGCACTCGCTGTTCTTGCAGGGGACCCGGGTTTAGCCCCCAGAACCCACGAGGCAGCTCACAACTGTAAGTGTAGTTCCGGGGGATCTGACATGTTATATACACACACACAAGGGCAAAACGCACACACTCATAAATAAAAATAAAATCTTAACATTCCCTCTCTCATAGGTCCTGACTGGCCTCAATTGAACTTCAGAATAAACTTGAAATAAAATGTAGAAATAGATTTGGTCTTGCTATGACATTAATACTTTTCTCTAACCAAATTGGTAACCTTTAGAGTACTTACAGCATCATCCTTATAAATCTGTTACATTAACATATACACTACCAATGCTGTGATATGGGAGGCGAGTGGTAACCGAGAAAAGTCGGGTACAATTGTACTGAAGTCAGAGTCACATGCCCACACTCCAATGAATCCAGTGAAAAGACCCAGGACCCACACTGGCTGCCCTGGCAGAGAGGCACTGCAGATGAGAGGCAGGGGTGAGTGAGAACAGGGAATTTTGCGTTATGCTTTTCAAATACCTTTCTCTATTTTCCCGTGAACTGTCACAATGTATCTCATTTCCAAAATTAAATGTGAAACAAGTTTATAATGCTTGGGGCACTTTGAGGATTGAGGAGCAAGAAAGACAGTGTTGAGCATGTTACCACTGGCAGAAAAAGAGGGAAATGCATACATTCAAATTCTCCAGCAGAGGAGTGTAGGGGCCAGTGGCATCCACTCCAGGAGGCGGTGACCAGAGCTAAGACCAGACAGCTCAGAAGTTCTTTGCTACTCTAAAGCATCTGACAAGATGGATACAGGAAGAATCCAATCTGCTCTCAGAGTTTTCAGGTGCGGGGACGCAGAGCAGCGTGGACACAAGCAGACGCAGCAGCCCACCTACTATGTGCACCAGCCTCTACGCTGCATCCTCTTATACTAAAGGGATGGCCCCTCATGGCTTGTCCAGTTCAGAAGAGGAGAAAAGCCACACGAGAGAAGAAAAATCACGATTGGCAAGGAAAAACCAAGATGTGGGCCAATGGCCCTTCCAGAGGTTTCTGTAAAATGGGCTCGTGACCACATCATGCATGGCTTGAAGACGAGCTGAAGAAACCAAGGCTCAGAGCAGGGCCGGGACACACAGAAAGCAGCCCGGCTAAGGGCTCGCTCACTAACGTCCCACAGGAAGGAGCGTGACGTCGACCACTGGACAGAAGCCCCAAAGCCCTCCCCGCCCCGTGCATACTTTGGCGAATGTGATGTAGAACTCCCTCTTGAGCGTGCTCCTCTCCATGGTGATGATCTGGTAGAGGCCACAGCCCAGCGACAGTGCCAGGCAAATCCTTAGGACGATCAGAAGGACCCCTGCTAAGCTGTGGTGTGAATGGGAGCTATGGTGACGAGTGTCTTCAAACTGCTCCCAAAGCAGCAAAATGCTCTGCAAATAGAAACAACCATTAGAAAAGAGTACACCTCTTTACAATAAAACTTGTCCTCAGCCCTGTTGTACGCATCCTTTGTATGCTAGGAAAGCATTCCTGAGGGATGCGAAGACATTTATGGGACTGTAAAGGCTGTCAATCAGTAGTGTGTTCTCCTCCTGCTCTCGTAATGCTGAGAGGGACTTCTACCAAGGGACACAAAGAGAAACAATAAACTGTTGCTATCACGAGCCAAACCATCATCTCTAAGAATAAACAGACGGAAAAGGCCTGTCTTCTAAACCCATGTCCTCGCATCCCAATCCTCCTCACCATCTCAAGGCTAACTTGCTTGGTTTTTTGTTTGTTTGTTTGTTTGTTTGTTTGTTTTGACCATCATGGCCTCAAAGTTTCGGCAGTGTCATGTCTCTGCTGCCTGAAATCTGGCAGTGTGGGCATGCCTCACCACACCGAATTTAAGACCACTTTCAAATAGCTCCATCTTTTCTAATAGAATGTGCCAAGTCCAAATTGCTGTCAAATGTCACATTTTCTGGCAACTTCCGAAAGTAAGAGAAGACATGTTTGTTTATTTGTTAAGATTTTCTTTTACTGTTACTGTGTGTGTGAAGGTGCATGTCTGTACCACACCATACTCATACAGGTCAGACGACAACTTTGTAGGTTTGCCCATTGTTACATGGGTATTGGGAATTGAACGCAGGTTGCTGGGTTTCAGCCTGAAAGCACATCTGTGACATCTGGTAAGAACTCCTGGGCACTGTCACACATCCTTCCTTTTTTGTGACCTTCCCTCTCTTATCTGTGACCGTTAAAAAAAAGAAAACACAGCTTTCTGCTGTTCCGTTTATTGCTGTCCACGTTCCCTCTGCCTCACTAAACTCCAAGTACTTAAATTATTGTCATCGTTTTACCATCAAATGTGCTTTTGGGTTTCAAAACCGAGTCTTTAGTCACTTCCAAACACCACTGATAGATAAAATTCAATATAAAATCTAACTCTTTGGCAGGGCATGGTGGCTCGTGCATTTAATCCCAGCACTAAGGAGATGCAGGCAGAGCTCTGTGAATTTTAGACCAGCCTGCTCGACATAATGAGACCCATCTCAAAACAACAAAATCCAATTCGCTGGCCACGGGGTTGCTGGCAGCAACACTATCTACCCCAGGTCTCACCGCCACAGACTGTACTAGAAGAGCTGCTGTGGTCACTCAAAGGAGACTTCCTTTGGGATAGGAAACCTGCCATTGGGGAAGTTAGGGAAATAACTCAGTCTTAGGCAGAGTGTGTCTTCCAGGTGCTAGGACGTACGTTCATATAGAATGACATGTGCATGTTCTTATGTTTAGGTAAGTACATCAAGTCACCTAGAGTGACCGGAAAAGCATGGACTTTCAGAATGTAACCATACTTACCCTAGATTTTCTAACATGCATGTGTGGATTACTTTAAACCCTAGATTTTCTAACATGCATGTGTGGATTACTTTAAAGTAACACAAATCATCATCATCATCATTGTTTTGCCATATCTTTCTAAAATCCTCAGGACATCTTTTTGTTTTGTTTTACTATTTTTATTTAGTACGTGTTCTATAATAATGTATTACTATTGCTGGATGAAGAGAATATTTATTCATACTACCACATGGGAGTCCATTCTCTAATGTCTTCCTGCATTTCTGTTGCTACGTAGGTTCCTTTTTCCTGTTCCCCTTATTCTTTTTGTGTATTGCAGGGCTTGGAATGCTTGTCTAGAAGTTTAGTTCATCCAGTCCCAGATGTACCAACTCTCTCTCAGGCAGGCATTTAAAAGTATGATCTTTATTTTATTTTTTTACTTTTCATTATAGTTTTTATTGGACCCATAGAAAAAGTGTTGTTTATTTTTTCATCTAATTTTTTTATTTATGTACTTAAATTACAAACAAGCTTGCCTCATATGAAGTATGATTTTATGATGTGGTCCTGTCTAAGTAGTTAGTACTGCAGGAGTCTTCCTTTGCAATGACTTACTGCACTGTACCTGGAAACAGGATGATGGTTATTTTAAGGCATGTGCCTTTCACATTTGATTGTAAGCTATGTGAATGTAGAAACCTTCTCTATTTTGCTTATGGTCAGTTGTCTGACAGTTAACAGGTTACTCATGAATAAATGATTAAGTGAGATAATGTCTATGAAGACCTTTTCATTTGGTAAGTATTCAATAAAATGTTATTTTCCTTATAATAAAAAAAGAATGTAATCATACTCAAATCTAACTCACAGTTTATATGTTAAACAATGTTTTTCTTTTTTATTCTTTGGCAGTTTTATATGTGTATATAATGAAATCTGTCTTTTCACCCCTCCTTACCCTCCCTCTCCACCCGAAACCCTTCTTCCCTACAAGCCCCGTCCTGCTTGTATTTCGTTTTTGCTGGAGACGGTAACCGCTAATTAGGGCTGCTGGCACGGATGGGAGGATATTTACTGCAGCCTGCACAACGTGTCAAGGGCTACACCAGTGACACCAGTGACAGCCCCTCCTCTGGCAACCGTTAACCAATCCCAGTAAGGACCGAATCTACCCCTAAAACTCACAGTAGAAGAAAAGCTGGGTGTGGAAGCATGTACCTGTGATATTACACACAGACAAGCACACACAAACACAGGCACAGTTACAAAGCCTCCACATGCTTACACAGACAAGCACACACAAACACAGGTACAGTCACAAATCCTCTGCATGCTATATACAGACAAGCACACACAAACACAGGTACAGTCACAAATCCTCCACATGCTTACACAGACAAGCACACACAAACACAGGTACAGTCACAAATCCTCCACATGCTTACACAGACAAGCACACACAAACACAGGCACAGTCCCAAAGCCTCCGCATGCTCACACACCTCCCACATTGTCCCCACAAACACACATGCATGTGCAGACAGATACACTCACACACACTCACACATACTCTCACACTCATGCATACATGTTCACACATACACAATCTATCTCTCTATCTCTCGCTCACACACATACTCACGCATACTCTCACACACACATATTCACACATACACAATCTCTCTCTCTCTCACACACACATACACAAACACAGAGTATATTAAAACCACGGGTGTGTGTTTATCAACGGACAGACTGCTGGTATCATTAGCGCTGGTTGGCTGTTGTTGAAGATGACAGCTATGTCTAACTCTGCGTCCAGTTCCAGTGCTTGTCAGTCTTAATTACGGCTGGTTATTTGTCTGTGACAACGAATTGCAATCACAATAAACGTTTTTAAAAACCTGGATTTTTAAGAGAGCTGTGATTTGAGAAATGAGAGTACATGACTTCTCTAAAAATTCATTTATTTTTAATTTATTTTATGTGTGCGAGCTTTTTGCCTGCAGAGATCAGGAAGTGGCATCAGGTCCCCTGGAACTGGAGTCACAGAGGGCTGTGAGCCACCATGTGGGTGCTGGGAACTGAACCTGTTCTCTGGAAGAGTATCTAGTGCTCATAACTGCTGAGCCAACTCTCTAGCATCAAGAAATGCTAATTTCTTTAATATTGAAGACAACAGAAAAAGTAGGAAGTGCTATGTTCAGTAAGATGAACCCTGCTCTCTAACACATGGGCACCAGGAGGCTAGTGAGATTATCTCATCTGCATTTCTTAGAGTCCCAGCCAGGGCCCGCTGGACGGGAGGCACACTCAGCTGCAGGGCCAGCTCTCACCTGGGTTACAACAATGAACACCGCAATGCCTGTGGACGCAGGGGTGGAATCCCACTGCAGAGGTCTGCTGGGAGACTTCTTCATTCTGACGATTGTCCACCCCATGCACAGGCTCAGAAGCAGGTACAGCATCTGAATCTGGGAGGCAATGTCAAAAACTGGAGGGAAATGAAAACCAAAGTCAGCAAAGCTGCACAGCCCACAGACTCGGCACATTTTATATGGACATGAGAATGCCCCTTTTCAAACCACAAACGCAACTAAGGAAACTCAGTAAGAGATATGAATGTCTAATAGTTCTAAAACATTAAATGTTTGCTATAAAATTTGTAGCTGGTTATAAGAATAGCAAAACACTACCATTTAAAAATATATGAACATAGCTGTATTGTATCTATATTAGTCCAACCCTAAAGCTATTTTTTTCTTTCGTATCCTTAAAGCTCTTATTGCTATGTACAACTCTGACAAAAGAAACACATTTTAAATATAATTTCTGCAACGTGGAAACATTAGCATGCTTTGCAGGGTGCTAACGATGCCTGATGCATGAGCTGTAGATGGGCGTACTCTCTAAAACTGTTAAGAAACCATGTGAGACAGAGTTCAAAGGCAAATGAGGAGCTCCATGAAGCAGTGCCATGCGCCACCAGGTGGCCGGCCCTTGCACTGCAGGAGAACACCGCTTGTTCGTAGACACACACCACGCAGAAGCAAACGAATAAACAGAAATCTATACATGCTTCGGGGTCCATGCATACTTACCTTATTAGTTAATGGTTGCTTGCCTACAATAAAAGCTATTACTTTGTGTCATGGTATATGTGAATGGCTTGTGATCAAAACATCGAACAGCTAACGCTTTGAACTGTCACTGCTTTGGCTTATAGAGACAGAGAAGCAGCTGGGGTATAATGTCTGTTTTTGAGCTACACATACAAAGTTTATCAACAATACACGTTAGATGTTTTGACAGACTTCCTCCTGCTCTGTCATCTACACTGAAACAGGCCGTTTTACATGCACTGTGTGACACGCTGACTTCTGGACACGGCATGGCGTTGCCTTGACTTCCTAAGCTCTTGGCAGCTCTGTTAACCTGCAGGAGAGCTGCACGAGACTGGGACCACTAGCTGCCCATGGTGGAGGGTGAGGAGAGGCCTGCGATGCCCCGCCCCTTCCTGACGAAGCACAGACAGTTAATGGCTGCTATGAGTGGATAGCTGCTTGCCAGCTGCCCGTGATACCACAGTTTACCCTAACTAAACTCTCTGGTTCACCAACCTAGACTTGGGTGGAACTGTTTTGGTCTGTTCTTGGTGTGCTTTCTGGGGAAAACAGATGCTTGTCTCCCCAGGAGACACATGCGTACGGTGGTGACGGCTGCTAATAAACTGTTATTACACTTGAATGACACAGCCTGTCAAATCAAGCACATTTTCTTTCATCACATGTTTAAGTGTGATGTTAATTAATTTCATTAAACATTTCATAAATGCAGCCAGCTAACTACATAAAGAAGTTGGCTGAAGGGATTCCTATATAAGCTCCTAAGTAGCAAAAACAAATACCCGGGGAAATCCCCTTCATTTTCTAGCTCATTTCTTTACACACCAGGTTACAAAGATCAATAAAATATAATAACTAAATAAGAAAACCTATGCTTGTTGTTGCCAAAAATAACAACCTGTTATTTTATATATAAATAGATATGTTCATATTTGTAAAATGTAGATACATGCAAATATTTATTTATAGAGGAAATCCTTAGATCATATAAGAACTTTGCTTTCTTGATTTAATCACTTCACCAGTAATTCTTGTGTTGGAGAATTGCCAACACTTAGCAACACCAATCCACTGCAGTTAAAACTACTGCACAGAGCACAGAGGGACACGGGACAGTGGTGCGATACTTTCTCCGAGCACTTGGGAGACAGGGCCAGGATTTTGAGTTTGGAGGAGGCTCAGGCTACATGGTAAGCTCAAAGACAAAAAGTGAACCCCACTCTCAAACGCCACTAGCTGAAAATAAAGTTTTAGGCTCACGTGCATGTGCTCCACTAACTGAAAATAAAGTTTTAGGCTCACGTGCATGTGCTCTCTCTCTCTCTCTCTCTCTCTCTCTCTCTCTCTCTCTCTCTCTCTCTCTCTCTCTCTCTCTCCCTCCCTCCCTCTCTCTCTCTCTCTCTCTCCCTCTCTCTCTCTCCCTCTCCCTCTCTCTCCCTCCCTCTCTCTCTCTCTCCCTCCCTCTCTCTCTCTCTCTCTGTCTCTCTCTGTCTCTCTGTCTCTCTCTCTCTCTCTCTCTCTCTCTGTCTCTCTCTCTCTGTCTCTCTCTCTCTCTCTCTCTCTCAGAATATGGCAAACCTATCTTTGACAAAGCACTCAGAAAGACTCTCACCTTCGGCCAGACTTCCCATAAGAGGCACCCCTAGTCCATCCTTGGAGTACCTGAGGAATTGAAGGGCAGAGCATTAAAAAATCACACGTGTGGAAAAGTGCTCATAATCAAAGCAAGCATGCGGACTAATTAGGATTAATTAGCTGTAACGATGAACACAGTGGTTGAGTTACCTGGAGAAATGAATGTAATTAGCTAAGGCGGAAGCAGCTTGTAACAGCAATGCAGTCGTCAGGACCTTTAAGACCATGTGCATGGGTCCTCCCTTCTTAATAGCCTGCCACAGCGACTGAGCATAAATGCAGGCAGTCACAAAGTACACTAGGACTAGGAGGAAAAAGAACTCATGCAGCCCTGTGGAGAGAAGAAAGGGAGCTCACTTCAGTAACACAGGACAGTGCTGGGCGCCTTTCACAGCTTCTCAAGTTACCTCTAGTCTTGTCTTTTAACCTGGACTCAGAGCATTCAGTCTTGTATGGAGGAAAGGTGGATATTGTTATCTTTTCCCCTTGGACCAAGTTCTAACTATAAGACGGCAACTTAAACTAGTTAAAGTCAATCTGTGGAACAACAGAGTCACTCAAGGGTGATGATTCACTGAAAATCAGAGCTGTTTCATCTAAAAACAGCCAGGCCAGTGTGACTTCAGAGTTCAGTTACTCTATAAGCTCAAAGTGCACATTTTTTTCTGAGAACTTTAGAACACTTATTGTCACCAGTAGCTGAATAGACTCTGACTATGCTTTTTCAAGTGTCCCCGATCTGGCAACCTCACCAAAGACTTGTGATGCAAATTCTTGGGTACCAATTCTGATCCACTGAACCAGAAAGTGGAGGCTGAATCCAGGCAGTCTGATTTGGGAAGCCCTATGGTGATTCTGGCAACAACGTGTACGAATCACAGTTTGGGGATGTTCTATTACCTTGAGCTTTCATTTGGGCAAAGTTTAAGATCTACTTCCAGACCCTCTTCTCTGGTACTTTCCGTAGCTACTGCCAAAGAGGAAACCCTCTGGCAATCAGGTGACTCCATGTCAATAGGGAGTAGAACTATGACAACAAACAAATGACCACCATTCCAAGTGGCCAAGGACAAAGTTAGATGACTCATACTGTCTCCTCAGAATTCAATTTACAAAACATGGAAGGCAGGCCGTCCAAGACGAAGCTGAAAGGAGTTAATGCTAGACGAGGCCAGAGGCAAACCGGCAGCGAGGATGTCAAAGTTCTGAGTGAGCAGAAACTACGAGCAAAGGAGACTAGCAAAGTTACAAACCAACTAAGAATGCAGCTGCTGCACTAAAATCTACGCCACTTCTGCCACTAGTCTCCGTAGTGTTCACGTGACCTCACAATAAATAGCATCATTTCCCTATACTTGGAATTACTTAAGTTTTTATTTGAGAAATTTCACACACACACAAAAAAATCTAACGAATTTCAAGATAGAAGACTGGTAGTTTCATGTTTGGAATTTAAGGGGTTCATTTATAGTCTTTCTTTTCCATCTAAGAGGGACTGTCCCAGGAATCCCTCAGACATCAAAACCCATGGATGCTCATCTCTTAAATAAAATGTTTGGTAGTTATGCATAAAAACCAATGCACATCCTCCTATACACTTTAAATCACCTATAGTTTAGCTTCAAAACCTAACCCAGCATAAGTACTATAGAAACAGGTATTATACTACACTGTTTAGGGAACACTGAAAAGGATGTAGCTGGCAGTTTTCAGCATAGACAACTTTTCACATGATACTGTTCATCTGTCTGCACACATGGATATGGAATCCGCTGGTATGGAGGGTCTGCCATACTAAGTTAAACTCACAGTGGTCCCCAGGAGCAGGGCTTTTACATTCTACTGAACACCAAGGTACAATACCAGCTACACACAAAGAGCTCTCTACTGAGTCTGCGCATGCACCTGCATCTGCTCCCTGAGTCTGAGTCTGCGCATGCACCTGCACCTGCTCCCCTGAGTCTGCGCATGCACCTGCATCTGCTCCCCGAGTCTGCACATGCACCTGCAACTGCTCCCTGAGTCTGTGCATGCACCTCCATCTGCTCCCTGAGTCTGCGCAAGCACCTGCACCTGCTCCCCGAGTCTGCACATGCACCTGCATCTGCTCCCTGAGTCTGTGCATGCACCTCCATCTGCTCCCCGAGACTGCACATGCACCTGCATCTGCTCCCTGAGTCTGTGCATGCACCTCCATCTGCTCCCCTGAGTCTGCGCATACACCTGCACCTGCTCCCCTGAGTCTGTGTATGCACCTCCATCTGCTCCCTGAGTCTGTGCATGCACCTGCATCTGCTCCCCGAGTCTGCACATGCACCTGCATCTGCTCCCTGAGTCTGAGTCTGTGCATGCACCTGCACCTGCTCCCCTGAGTCTGCGCATGCACCTGCATCTGCTCCCCGAGTCTGCACATGCACCTCCATCTGCTCCCTGAGTCTGCGCATGCACCTGCATCTGCTCCCCGAGTCTGCACATGCACCTGCATCTGCTCCCCGAGTCTGCACATGCACCTGCATCTGCTCCCTGAGTCTGCACATGCACCTGCACCTGCTCCCCTGAGTCTGCGCATGCACCTGCACCTGCTCCCCTGAGTCTGTGCATGTACCTCCATCTGCTCCCCTGAGTCTGTGCATGCACCTGCACCTGCTCCCTGAGTCTGCGCATGCACCTGCATCTGCTCCCTGAGTCTGCGCATGCACCTCCATCTGCTCCCTGAGTCTGCGCATGCACCTCCATCTGCTCCCCTGAGTCTGAGTCTGCACATGCAGCTGCAGCTGCTCCCTGAGTCTGTGCATGCACCTGCATCAGCTCCCTGAGTCTGTGCATGCACCTGCATCTGCTCCCTGAGTCTGCGCAAGCACCTGCACCTGCTCCCCTGAGTCTACGCATGCACCTGCATCTGCTCCCCTGAGTCTGCACATGCACCTGCATCTGCTCCCCTGAGTCTGTGCATACACCTGCATCTGCTCCCCGAGTCTGCGCATGCACCTCCATCTGCTCCACTCCACCCAGAAGCCTGAGACGGCTCCTCGGCTCTAGCTTCCCATTTGGGTTAAATGCCAATTAAAGAAGAAGAAAGTACTTTTATTATTAAAAACCACACTTTGGAAAAGCAAACCAGGAGACACATACCCCAGTAAACCCAGCAAACAAACAACTCAAACCCCATCATTTTGGAGGCGTCTCAAGAGAACCAAAAGGACAAGAAGCTCTTCTACCACTGGGTGTCTCTCCTGCTCTACCACAGAGCAATGAGCTACACGGTTCTGGAGCAGAGGAGCTGGGCTAGCTGGACAAGAACCATAAGCTGCTAGGAAGGAGGACACTTTGTATGCTCCCTTCACAGACAGAGACTGCCCTGTAGAATAATGGCACCACAAACCTTCCATTACTACAGGGCTGAATCACCGCACAAAATACAGGTGGACTAATACGTTCAAAGCTGTGGGCCAAAAACATTCCTACACTAGCCCATGCTTCCATCTAAGTTTTAAATTTTCCTTCTCTGTACTAAAGAAGTTAGACAAAGAACACAAAGCATCTGTTCAAAGTTTTACTTATTTGTGGTATTTTGTAAAGCACCCGTCACAGGACCAGGTTTCAGGCCTCATTATGTAACAGATCCAACGTGACAGACAAGAAAATCATGACTATTTACTGAGAACTCAAAAGAACTTAAAGACAATGGACTTTATTCAGTAGTAAATATATCTCCCAGAAAATGCTAGGATTATATAGCGAGCACAAAGAAAGATATTTGATTGGATGAATATATTAAATAAACTGAACACAGACACTGACTCAAATTTCGTTAACTAAGTTTTTGGTATGTGAGTCTTACCTTAACCCTGTCCATAAGACACTTTAAAGTCAGTGCCGGCCCAGCACTCTGGGCTTTATTGTTATTTTTCCTTTTAAGTAGATCAGCTTTAAGACATGTCTCTGTTTTCTCTTTAGCTACCAATTTTACTTGTGTTTTGCCTCTAGCAGTCACGAGTCAGAAGAAAGCAATTTGCATTGTTCCCAATGGAATTAAAATCTAATTTTAAAACAGGTGGGAAACTAAGTCTTTAAAGTCAATGCACACTGAAGACAAGTCTCAGATGAACACACAGCAGATGATGAACGCTTACGAGGAAATGTGTGTGTCATAAAGCAAGCCCTAGAGAAGTCTTGGGGAGACTGAGGGGGGAGGCTTACAGGACAGCTCCGGTAGCCAGGACTCCATCTGAGCAACTCCACAGCAAGAAAGGGAAGAGAAGGGAGCAGGGGAGCAGTGCAGCCCAGCCTGCTTCCTGTCCCGGGGGCCAGTGATTCCCACCCTCAAGTGTCTTAACACCAATCAAGATTCCAAAACCATCTGAGGCTTCCAACATTGAAACTCATGGTGTTGACACAGCAAAGATGTGTGAACCTTTTTCTTTTTTTCTCTCTTTTCCTCTCTTTCTTCCATTTTTTTAAAATTACTTTTTAGGTTTTTTGAGAATTTCACTGTGTAGTCCCAGCTGTGCTGGAACTCAGTGTGTAGGCCAGGGTGGCCTGAAACTCAGAGATCCTCCTGCCTCTGCTCCCAGTGCCAAGATTAAAGGTGTGCCCACCACAGCCTGACCTTGAGATACTTAGTGTCTGTACTATAGCTGAGCCCAACAGTTGTAACATTCTATTAGAACTAAGTGGGTGTCCACTTACTTTTAGAACATGGAGGGAAAAGAGAAACAGAAAAGCATAAAGGTGTCTGCTGAAACCTAGACAACACAGAAGCCTGTGACGTCATCTCATACAGGTGTCTGCTGACATCTAGACACAGAAGTCTGTGACGTCATCTCATAAAGGTGTCTGCTGACATCTAGACACAGAAGTCTGTGACGTCATCTCATAAAGGTGTCTGCTGGAATCTAGACACAGAAGCCTGTGACGTCATCTCATAAAGGTGTCTGCTGACATCTAGACAACACAGAAGTCTGTGACGTGTCATCTCATAAAGGTGTCTGCTGGAATCTAGACACAGAAGTCTGTGATGTCATCTCATAAAGGTGTCTGCTGACATCTAGACAACACAGAAGTCTGTGACGTCATCTCATAAAGGTGTCTGCTGGAATCTAGACAACACAGAAGTCTGTGACGTCATCTCATAAAGGTGTCTGCTGAAACCTAGACAACACAGAAGTCTGTGACGTCATCTCATAAAGGTGTCTGCTGACGTCTAGACACAGAAGTCTGTGACGTCATCTCAATAAAGACCAGCTGATTGCTTTAGGCAGCACACTCTCAAAAGTCTAGGTACTTCGAACAAGAACAGGAGATATAGTTAATAAGTTTAACCTTTTTGATTTTTTCATTTGTTTTGAGAATTTCATGACCTTTTTGATTTTTTCATTTGTTTTGAGAATTTCATGACCTCTTTGATTTTTTCATTTGTTTTGGGAATTTCATGAGTAATATATTTATATCATTTATACCCTGTCCCTCCTAACTCCTCCCACTTGCCCCCTCTCAAAATCATGATTGTTTAAAGAAGCTATTTCATTTTTTTCTGCCTGAAAAGCCTTATATTCCTACTTAGCAGTATGTTTATTGTCTTAGTTAGTTTTGTAAAATTAGATTTAACTGCAAATCAGGGATTAACCAAAGTCTAGATTTAGAATGCATTCATTGGAGCAAAGGAAAGGACACAGGTTGTAAAATGTAAAGAGAATACCACGCAACATTAACTGTATGTTGATTGCAGTAGGTTACTTAATTTTAATCTCTCAACTGTGGGGTCAACTCTCAATAAAAACAAAACAAAACAAAAACCAGAAAATCAGACAAATTAGACAAACAGGTTTCTAAAAGAACTGGAGCCTATTTCCTAGAAACAAATTCTATACCAGGGCTACACAGTAGGAAGGACCCTCGTAAGCTATAGCATAAAACCAACATATCCCCCACAGGATGAGAGGTACAACTTTCTACAGCAGTGTTTCTGCACATTAGATTACTTCAGAACATTGATTCAATGCCTGGTTTATAACCCAAAACAACTCTGAGTCTTGGGAGAAGTGAATTTATTTTTTATTTTATTTGACTTTTTGTTGTTTTCAAGACATGGTCTTACTGTGTAACTCTGTAGACCAGGCCTGCCTTGAACTCTCAGAGATCTGCCTGCCTTTGCCTCTCAACACTTCATTTTTTGAAAAATAAAAATAATAATAAGATAGTTTCTCTAGACTTATAAATGTCTTCTCTATAGTGATGGGTTTAGAAGGATCAGCTTAAACTTCCCTGCTCACAAGGGCTTTTATGGTTTTAATCAACAAAATAATGTAAACTTTCAGAAAGTAAGCCAACCACAGACTAGTTTTCAATAATCCAAGGCACATCTGGGTTTAAAGCTGTCAAAAGAACCCAAGGCATTTCTGAGCTCTTTTGACTGTTAATAATCAGTCCTTGCAGGTGGTTCTGTACAGAACATCCTAACTAATCAAATATTGTCAGGGAATGACCTGTGCAACTTTCCCATTTTAGAATAAGCTTTTCAATACCAAATCAGTAACAAAAGCCAGGAAGCTGAGTACTGACAGAAGGATTAGAGTTATTTGTGTGAATTCTAAAGAAAGCTAGCAGTAACTTTGGATGCCAGGAAACCTCTAGAGGTGTGGGCAAGTTCAGGGAAAGTCAGGACAAGGATGACTCACATTTAGAGGCCCCAGCACAGCAAATGGGATTACTTTATGCTATGGGGTTGAAGTTCAGATGCCAATTTAGGGAGGAGAAAAAAAAAAGAACTGAAGTAAGAGCCAGGACAAGGAAGGCAATGTTTATCAAGATACAGAGAGCTGCAGGTCTCGTATCTGCAGGCAGCAAGGGGGAGGGCCCTTAGCCTGGCAGAGCACTACTTTCTTGTAATGGAGTCTTGTTTTTTCAAACTTCGGGGCCATTAGTCTAAACCTCTGCCCAACGCTACTCATTGGCCTGGGTTTCACTGATGACATCTTACAATACTGAGAACAGCCACTGGCATCACTTGCAAGGACAAAACAGGGCAGACTGAATTCCAGTAATGGTTTACAGCCTAAGATGTCATTAGCCAAACACAGCCTAAGGTAATAATCTGTACTCACAAACATCTTGATTGAGAAATGTTATAAAACTACTCTAGAACATGTGGTGCCCCCGCCATCATTCTAAATGTTTTCAAAATCAGCGGTGCTTACTCTAACACACATGGTTTGATTTGTTTCTCTAATGATGGAAATTTATTCACTAGACTTAATCAACTGAGTCTACTGTGGCCTTCCTCTTGCTCAGCTCAACTGCTTTACGGACAAGATCCAACGGCATTTTCTTTATTGATGTCCTCAAATGGCCAGTAACTCGTGAGGGAGTGAGCCCTAAACCGTCTTCCTGGACAGATGGCCCACACAGATGCCCACATACTCCAGCACATAAACTGATCATGTCACACTTAGAGCACATTCATCTTGTTCATGCCAATCACCTCTGTGTGGCCAGGATCTCACTTCAGTAAGGCAAGGCGCAGAGGCCTAAAGTTTTAATGAAGACTTGTGGGAATAAATCTGAATCCAGAAAACACCACACCCTTAACCGTTGCTTCATAAAAACCCAGAAAATCAAGGTCCGAGTCTGTTCAAAGCTAATGGAGGGGACATTTCTACAAAGTAGTACACTTTATACCTCAGTATGCACTGCTCAGCTCACTGACATTTTTATCTCTAAAACAACCAAAATATCCTAAAATGAGATTTAAAATGAATAAAGGAAACTAAAAATTCTACAATCCTATTACCTGTATATACAACTACCTGTTAATATTTTATAGTTTGTCTTATTTTCTGTCTTTAACATACCCGAGGTCAAGTTATAGAAAATTTAGCATTCTGCTTTTAAAGTTCAGCTGCTTTTTGTTTTTAATATTCTAAGAAGGCAAAATGAAGATCCCCCTGCACAAATCTCTTTTTGCATTTAGGATGCATTTAAACATACGTCTTACCAGATTCTCCAGCGCTAAAATGGTCAAATGGATTTCCTTCAGCATCTGGGTTTAACAACACCATTTCAAACGGGATGTCTTCCAGCTGGGGGCTTGCCACGCCCTCTCTGCAGGTGTACTTGTCTGCATAGAACACATGCCACACTTGGGGAGCCGGAATCTGGGACACTGTCAGGTTGTGTTCCGTCTGGTTCATTGTCACTTAGAGAGAAAGAAAACAGCACCTTTCAAAGCAGTGGCCTAAATGCTTTAGGAATAGAACTAAAATCTTTTTTTTTTTGCCTCAAAATTCACGTCCTGATATAGTATTAGAATAAAGGATAGAAACCATAAAGCAGACTAAAATTATCAATTTAAGCAATGAAATCACTATAAAAGTATCAATAACATACCACAAAAGAGAAGCAGTTTCATTGAAACTAAATTTTTATATATATTTTTAGGTACAAGTGCTTTGTCCACATGTATGCCTGCATGCCAGAAGAGGACATCAAATCCTTTTATAAATGGCTGTGAACCATCATGTGGGTGCTGGGAATTGAACTCAGGACTTCTGGAAGAGCAGCCAGTGCTCTTAACCTCTGAGTGAAGTGTCTCTCTTACCCTGAAACTGCATTTTTAATAAACATTTACAAAGTTTTCAGTGGGTTAGTGATATTTACAAATCATGTTGTAAAAATACATGCCAAGCAATCATTTTAACCATATCATACCATGCAGCAGCTGCAACCACAGTTTTGGAAGTAACTTCCTTAATTTAAATGTAAAATGAAATTTTTCGCTAGGAAAATCCTTATATCCAAGAATTAGGCCTGTTAAAAAATGTTTCTTTTAATTGGTTTCTTTGCAAAGGGTACTATTAGTAGGAAAAAAAAAAAAGGACAGCAATACTGGGTCAGATCTGTGCGTGGTAGTAAGACACGACAGGATACACCCACCAATGATGGGACAGAGGTTTGTATTGGAACCTGGCTTCAGTATTGTGCTAGATAGTTAGCTCTATGCCAACTTGACACAAATTAGTTATCTCAAAGCAGGGACCCTCAGCTGAGAAAATACCTCCATAAGATCTGCTGCAAGACATTTTCATAATTAATGATGATGGGGAGGGCCCGGCCTATGGTGTGTGGTGCTATCCCTGGTCTAGTGGTCCTGAGCTCTGCAAGAAAGCAGACTGAGCCAACCATGTGAACCAATCCAATAAGCTGCACTCTTCTGAGCCTCTGCAGCAGCTCCTGCCTCCAGGTCCTGCACTGTTTGAGTTCCTGTCCTGACTTCCTCAATGATGCACTGTGAAACAGAAGTATAAACTAAGACAAGCACGATACCTTGTGTCTGTGTGTACACAGTAAATAACTGATGCAAAGACTAAGTTCTGTGAATCTTTTAGTATGGTATCCGTTTCCAGTATAGGATTAAATGTTAACTCTGCCAGCCTCACTCCAGGTTCAGTGAGACCTGTCTCAAGACAGTTAAGAGGGAAACTGACAGCAGGGAACTGGGCCTCCTTCTCTAGCCTGAGTTCACGCATACGCGTACATACACGCACGCAATCACACACACACACACACACACACACACACACCCATGCAGTCACACGCACACGCACACACACACATGCTCACAATCAATTCCAGTGCTTGGGAGGCAAAGAGAGGTGAATGTCTAAGCTTGAGACCAGCCTGGTCTGCCGAGTGAGTTGCAGGACAGCTACACAGAGAAACTTTGTCTCTACTCCCCCACCCCAAATGCAGATTCTGAAAAACTGTGGCTAAGATGTTAGTTTGCGTCAATACTCAAAGGCTCCTGCTAAGAATTTAACGTGACATCCATACACGGCTCAATGCGGGCTTGTCCTTACAGAGCAAGACTCTGCTGTGCTGCTGTGTGTCTTAGCATTTAGACTGAGTCTCAGGATGGCAAGACACAAAACTGTGACACTGTATTTCCAGTGTGCGACAGCTTTTGAGTCTCTTTAAATTATACAGACTTACATAAACAGAAACACAGCACTGCTTCCAAAAGTGATGCTGGATTTGGTCTCTGTCTCACTGTCTTTTTGCAGCAAGCCTCTTGACAATACTGTTATTGTTTTTGAGACAAAGGACTACAACACAGCATGCATGTTCTATGAGGGTGTAATTAGTATCTCAAATATTAACAAAATGTGAATCACTGAGGTAGTGTTGAATGGCTAATTGCCCAATCATTATAAAAAGAAAGGAAAACTGTTAGTCAGAATGCCTAGTAAAACACTCACGCTTAACGTGCTTTTTAAAGTATCCCAAGTACACAAGAGGGATCAAGTGCATGAGATATATAAGATGCAAATTATTCTCTGTGTAATACTGCATTTAACTACTTACTCCAGGCAATTCACTTATCTTGCACCAACAAGATTCAATCACGCACAGGAGCGTGTGCGCGCGCGTGCGCACCCCCCCCCACACACACACACGAGAAAAGTCTTTTCTATAGGGATGGAGAGATGGCTCAGTGATTAAGAACACTGTTGCTCCTGCAGAGGACCTGGGCTGTTTCCAGCACCCACACAGTGCTCACAGCCACCCTTAGCCCAGTTCCAGGGTATTCATTAGCAACTCAGAACCGATATCTCAGGTTGATCCTCATTTCAGTGCGTACCAGCAGCAATGCTTTACATAAGGGCAAGGCAAAAACAACCAGCTTATTACGGTTGCTATTTTGTAAAAATCAGATTGCTAGTCTGAAAATGCTCTGCTCCAAGGGATTATCATTAAGGGTGTGGCATTATTACAGGGTCATGAAAGAATATGCTTTTTTTCACTGACGTCTCCTGAGTAGTATAAATATGACCCTTAGTAATCCAAAAGATTAATACAGATTTTTAAGGCTAGGATTTTGTTGAAAAAAAAACTGACGAAATCAATAAAACATACATATACATATAAAATATATATACACCAGCTGGTTTCTTGACTCAACACAAGCCAGGATCATCTTGAAAGAGGGACCATAGGTTAAGAAGTTACCTCCATCAGTCAGGGCTGGGGGGCAAGCCTGTGGGGGAGTTTCTTAATTGAAGGTTAAGGAGAAAGGGCCCCGCCCACTGTGGGTGGTGTTACGCATGAGCACGTGGTGCTGGGCGGCAGATGAGGGCAGACTGAGCAAACCGTGGGGACCAAGCCAGTAAAAGTATTCCTCCCTCCATGTTCCCTCTTCAGTTCCTGCCCTGCTTGAACTCTGCCTTGGCTTCTCTGGATGACTGACTATTATCTGTAAACTGAAATAAACCCTTGCCTCCCCAAGTAACTTCTGGTCACGGAGTTAGTTACAACAGAGACACAGACTAGGACACGATGTTTTATACAAAATACACAGCTTAAAAAATATATATATATAAACTATGTAACATAAGCACATACTTTTTTCAGTACTTTATCTTAGGCCCCCAAAATTGCTATTTCTAAAATTGCTATTTCCTGCTTTCTTTCTTTTGTTCAAATTGATGTGTATGTGGTACATACGTTAGGTGAGCCCAGACGCCCAAGGGCAGCATCAGCCTCCCTGGAGCGAGAGTTACAGGGAGTTCTGTATGGTGCTGCCTGATGTGGGTGTTGAAACTGAACTCGGGCTCTCTGCAAGAGCAACAAGTGCTTTTCACCACTGAGCCGTCTCTGCAGACACTCCTGTTACCTTCCATTTCATAATTCCAAAAAATACTCCTGTTACCTTCCATTTCATAATTCCAAAAAGTACTCCTGTTACCTTCCATTTCATAATTCCAAAAAATACTCCTGTTACCTTTGAAAGAACAGGAAAAGGAAAAAAGATGAACAACAACAAAAAAGGCCAAGGATCCCGTCAGGTTACAGCCCTGGATCGACCCCCAGGCTAAAAGTGAATTCCAAGCCCGGCAGTGGTGGCCCAGCACTCAGGAGGCAGAAGCAGACAGTGTGCCGAGTTCCAGGTCAGTCTGGTCTACACAGTGAGTTCCAAGACAGCCAGGGCTACACAGAGAAACCCTGTCTCAAAAACACCCAAAGGGGTAGGGATTCCAGCTGCAGCACTTCAGAGTGGGTAGGAACCTAAACGCGGTCCAACGTGCCTCTTCTATGTACAGGTCTTCACAGGTCACTAGCAGCGGCTTCCGGTTAGCGGTTTTGCACCGTGGCAACGTAGGAAACGCATTTCTGTAAATGGATATGGGTATGGTACAACATGGACCGTGTGGTGTAAGGAAACCAAGTGACGGTCCTAAAGCCCAAGGCTTTAAACAATGACAAGAAAAAGTCTCTGTAGCGCCAGATCAACTACCAAACCACCCCCTTGCTGGCCAAGCACGAGGCTCCAGGACTGCGCACCCTCCACGCACTCAGAACACACACAGCTCCCTAAGCACCAGTCTCAAAGACTGTCATTCCACAGTGCGCCACCTAAACAAGACTCACTCACTGCTGCAGCTGAAACTTCATGGGACGTTGATGGACATCTATTAATTTAATTAAATGTGTGTGTGAGGGAGAGAGAGACAGAAGACAGAAAGTGTGGGTTTCTGTAAATGAGGGAACTGTCTGCAGAGACTGCTGGAGATGGGCTTACAGTAGGTCGTGAGCCACCCGGCCAGCGTGCTGAGAACAGAACAGGGCCTTGGCAGGAGCAGGAAGCACTCGACGCCTGAGCCATCTATCTCTCTAGCCTGTGGCATTCCGGTCACCATTACCCTGAAGGATGACCCGATGTCTGTTGCGGTTACTGAAGCACCAGTAATGCCTGGCCTTGTGCATGCAACCACACAGTTGCTCAGTCAAGGGACAAACGGACAGACACGTGGTTTATGATGCTGCTGTCACTGACCGAAGAAGTGGGACTCGTGATTCATCATAAATCATGCTGCACAGGAAGACACAGGATTCGTAGAGAGAGAGAGCTGAGGGAAGGAAGGAGCCGGTGCAAAGGCCCTGGGGATATCAATTGAGCACCGACCAGAAATGAGGGCGTGTGAAGCTGCGTGGCGGAGACCCGCGGGTTCTGCTGCTCGAGCCGGCAGCCTGTGGGCATCAGAAGAGCGGGAAAATACTCAGACAGCTTAGTGGAGTGGTGACAGCCAAGGCAGCACGGTCGAAGGTGCTGTGTACAGATCACTGGTGACCAGGCACGGTGGTGCATGCCTTTAACCCCAGCACTCGGGAGGCAGAGGCAGGCAGATCTCTGTGAGTCTGAGGCCAGACTGGTCTGCAGAGCAAGTTCCAGGCCAGAGAGCAGCCGTTTAAAAGGAAGACAAGCAAACCCTCAGGAGTGAGGTGGAGGAGAAGGATGGGACGCTGGAGGGGAAGCTGGGTTTGAACATTGGAGGAACTGAAGAGCAAAGGAGGAGGACTTCCACACGCACGTGAAATGCAGAGATGTGCAAACGTGACAGACAGGAAAACTGACAGCGACTGCGCCCGTTTCCAGATGAGTTCAGAAGCTCAGGGATGCCATAAACCACTGTGATATCTTCTACATCCGAATCCCAGCTCTCAGCTCTTCCACACACCACAGACATCAGCTAACAGTCTAGGAAGCAAACATCCACGATGGACAGTGGCAGCCTGGGAACTACTCTCTCCTCAGCTCAGGCATCCAGACAGCTGAGTGGATGTTTAGAACGGGACTCCACCAGGCTTGGCTACGAGAAGAATCAGTGCGGAAGAGGATGGTCTCTCTCTCTCATGGGCGCTGCAGTGGCTGGAACGATAACCGTCATCCTAGACTCGTGTGTGAACACGTGGTCCCCAGCTGATGGAGCAGTTTGGGAAGGATTAGGCCCTTGAGGTTCTAGAAGACTTGGGTCATTCCAGTATGCTCTCTGCCTGCAGCTTGTGGGTCAAGATGTAAACCCTTGGCTACTGCCCCAGGTCCCCACTGCCACTCCTGCCTGCCACCAGTCTCCAACCCTCTGTAACCATGAGCTCATAAACTCTTTTGTAAGTGCTCTTATCACAGTAATAGAAAACAAGCTAATACAGATGCTTCAACCATGTTTCCTACAACCAATTGATTTTAGGGGTATAATGGGCAGAATGGCATATGTACTTCATATTCCTAAATTCTAAAACACACACACACTCTCTCTCTCTCTTTCTCTCTCTCTCCCTCCCTCCCTCTCTCCACCTCTCTGTGCCTCTGTCTCTCTCTCCCCCTCTCTGTGTCTCTGTCTCTGTCTCTCTCTCCCCCTCTCTGTGTCTCTGTCTCTCTCTCTCCCCCTCTCTCTGTGTCTCTGTCTCTCTCTCCCCCTCTCTGTGTCTCTGTCTCTGTCTCTCTCTCCCCCTCTCTCTGTGTCTCTGTCTCTGTCTCTCTCTCCCCCTCTCTATGTCTCTGTCTCTCTCTCCCCCCCTCTCTCTGTGTCTCTGTCTCTCTCTCCCCCTCTCTGTGTCTCTCTCTCTCCCCCCCTCTCTCTGTGTCTCTGTCTCTGTCTCTCTCTCCCCCCTGTGTCTCTGTCTCTGTCTCTCTCTCCCCCCTCTGTGTCTCTGTCTCTCTCTCCCCCTCTCTGTGTCTCTGTCTCTGTCTCTCTCTCCCCCTCTCTGTGTCTCTCTCTCTCTCCCCTCTCTCTCTCCCCCTCTGTCTCTCTGTCTCTCTCTCTCTCTCTCCCTCTCTGTCTCTCTCTCTCTCCCCCTCTCTCTGTATCTCTGTCTCTCTCTCTCCCTCTCTCTGTGTCTCTGTCTCTGTCTCTCTCTCCCCCTCTCTCTCTGTCTCTCTCTCTCTCCCCCTCTCTCTGTGTCTCTGTCTGTCTCTCTCTCCCCCCTCTCTCTGCCTCTCTCTCCCCCTCTCTCTGTGTCTCTGTCTCTGTCTCTCTCTCCCCCTCTCTCTCTCCCCCTCTCTCTGTGTCTCTGTCTCTGTCTCTCTCTCCCCCCTCTCTCTCTGGCTAGCATCCTCATCATGAGACACCTTTGACTCAGGAAAAAACTGGATGTGAGCGATGATAAAGGTTTCTAGGTGATGTGGTACACTATGTACTGCTGTTCCCCCATCATACAACTAAGTCTCAATGGCATGCTATCAACCAGCATCGCTTGGGCTAAGTTGTATGAAATAACATGTTTAGTGCGCAAGTAATTTCTACTCAATGTTATTCACTGTATACTACAACCAGATAAAAATGTATCTAGTATATTGGCATGAAATACATAAACCGTAGAGTATAAATAAATACACCTTTATCTATTTGGACATTTAAAAAGTTTTTGAATGATAAAAGGAGAAAAAGCATTCTATCTTTTGAACAAAGAAATGGTTAGCTTTTGAAAAATGCTGCTGAAAACATAATAACCAAAATATCATCAGTTATAGGTATGTAGTTTTAAAAATATATCTTAGTATATATATTTGTACCATGGTGTACTATGCTTCAACATTAAAGGGGGGAAACCCCACATCTAATGGTCAAAGAAAAATCCCATATACTCACTTGTCAACTGAGCTCTGGATAGCCTCTCACTACAGCTATACTCAGGACTGCTCTCCTGAAGCTTGAGCCACTCCTGGGCTTGGAACAGGTAGAGTTTAGCTTCTTTCCCAACAGCCATTGCTATGTTGTTGATTCTGACACATAGAAGAGCATGGTCACCTTGACATTAAAACAAAAATTATCAACTAGTTTGGTCTTATAGAGAGCTAAGACAGTAGGACAAGTACACATTTCCATGTATCACTATGGGAATTTGACATTATCAAATCTCATTTATGTAAATTAATCACAACATAATGAACATCTCATTCAGGTGTAAGAATTTACCCAACATAGAATGTAACTGTGTAACTGTAGTGGTAAGTAGTTACATTGTAAGAGTATATCAATATGGGAGTATCTGTATAACTATAGTAATAAGCAGTAACATTGTAAGAGTTTATCCAATGTGAGAGTAACTATATAACTGCAGTGGTAGGTGGTAATATTGTTAAGAGTTTGCCCAACATGAAAGTAACTGTATATTTGCAGACACAAGTTGTAACACTGTAAGAGTTTAACAGAAGAGTAACTATATAACTGCAATGATAGGTGGTAACATTGTAAGAGTATACCCAATGTGGAAGTATCTATGTAACTATAGTGACATTGTAAGAGTTTATCTAACATGAAAGTAACTGTATAAGTGCAGTGGTAGGTGGTAACACTGTAAAAGTTTATCTAACAAGAGAGTAACTGTATAAGTGCAGTGGTAGGTGGTAACATTGTAAGAGTTTATCCAACAGGAGAGTATCTGGGTAACTGTAGTGGTGGGTGGTAACTGAATAAAGACCATGATCTGGGACACATGGACATTCATCATAGAATCTCTGCCTCCCTTTCCAACCCTCTTCACTCATACATTTGTTCATAATCTGCAGAGACTTCTTGCTGAAGTATCCTTTTAACATAAATACATAATTAGTACTTGTTGGGGGGGGGGTGAGAGACAGGGTTTCTCTGTGTAACAGCCCTGGCTGTCCTAGAACTCAGTTTGTGGACCAGGCTGACCTCAAACTCACAAAGATCTACCTGCCTCTGCCACCACACTTAGCCCCTAGTTATATTTTAATGTGAAAATAAAACACATGTAATAAGTTTAAATATATGTGAAGTGTGGGGTACTGATTTTACACCCAAAACACATTTTCTATACTTAGGACTTTTACAAAAGAATTTCTAGAACAATATATTGGATGAATAATAGGAAAGGAGCCTGGCTATACAATGAACTAATTAAGACTCAGTTTAGTAGCTGAAGAGATGGCTCAGTGTTTAAGAGTGTTTGCTGCTCATGCAGAGGACACAGGTTTGGTTCCCAGCACCCACGTGGCGGCTCACACCTTATGAAATTCGATTATGGGGTACCTGACTCCCTCTGGCCTCCAAGGGCACCTGCATGAAAGTGACATGCATAAACTCATGCAGGAATGCACACACAGACAAAAACAATAATTTAAAAATTAGTATATAAATATCAAAAAGTAGTTGCCTGTAGGAGATAGGATGCTAGGAAAGAAGCAGTAGACTTCTTAAAATTTTACAATTTGCTATTCTTTGGGTTCCTACTTTCTATAAGTTAAAATGTTCAGTGTACATAAAGAGTAAGTCTCTGACATAAGTTGGTATGCCATATTAAGTTTTACAAAGTGACTCTCACGTATTACTAACACTTTAAATGGCCATAAGCTATGGTTGCTCAGCACAGCTTTATTGAATTAAACTGCAATTGACCATAACCTGGCAAGAGCTATGTGTATGAGAATTGTGTGTGCATAATATATGAAAGAGAGAAACTGCACATGGGTTATCCCTTCCCCCAATCTGTTATAGGCCTTATGCAACAACGTGTAACATAAATCTTTTTACTTCAGGTGATACTGGTAACACTGCCTCAACAACACCTGGGGTGTTTGATAACCTAAATTTCCTTCATATTTCCTCTCTGGGTTCACAAGGTAGTCGTGATCAGGGTTATGTGTATCTCCGTGAGGCATGAACAGCACAGATCACAGCTTCAACAGATCCTCGATTTACCGGCTCTATCCAGATCATAGACCAGACAGCACTGCCAGTTCTCAAAGGGCTGCTACAAGGAGGTTAAGAGACTGAAAATATGACAAAAATTCAACAAAAAGGTTTATTCAGTGATCTCTCCTTCCTTCATCCACGTGTATTCAGAGTTTGGAAAGTTGGCATGCTTTTCTCAGATACTGTAAAACCTTCAATTCTTGTGGTTTTAAAACATGCTTTTACATCATCAATTCTGCAAGTTTCCAGGACTTGACATTCCTTCCCACAGCAACGTAGTTTCTCACTTCTGTTATCTTCTCCTAAGAGGCCCCAAGCTGGCACACTGATATCCACGGCTGCATCTCTAAGGCAACCCGATCACATAACAGCTGAGCTTCATTTAGGGAATTACTCACTGGAAATGCAGCAATGTCAAAATCAAAGTGCCAAGAAAACACCGAAACTAAGAGAGCAAATCAACTGGGGCAAAACTAATAGAATGAATCGCAAAATTCACCAACCGATGGAGTTACTGGTTTTCCTGGGGGACACCAGGAAGAATGAAATGCAGCCCTTCCAGATAGGACAGGGCTATCAATCACGAAACTTTGTAAACACTCAAAACGCGTTTCCACCAACTGAACTCTAGGCACACAGGAAATCTGTTGCACGGTAGCACGGTAACCAAACTGCCGAGGCAGTGACACTTTCCAAATCCGCTCCAAGTGGGTTTCCTGCCGCCACGGGTGTGACAGACGGCAGGAAGGCTAGGTTCCAGGGCTGACGTTCACTCACAGCCTCGGGGCTCAAATGCACACTACGAGACCAAGCGCGGAGTCGGGGGTGGGGGAGGACAGGACACACAGCTCTGGGAGGATGCAGCAGGGCGGTCCTGCTTGCACCGGGAGCGCCGGGGGAACGGGAACCGCTCTCCGGTGCATTGAGGGCTGCGGCCTGGCGAAGGCGCCAAGGGCCGCGGCGACGCCGGGGATCCAGGTGAGGCCGGGAAGACGTGGCGGGAAGGGAGGCGCCGCGGCCGCCGCCTACCGACCCCGGGCCTGCGGGAGGCCGCGCGCCTCCATCCCTCGGCCCGCCCCGGACCTACCGTGGAACTCGAAATGGCCGATGCTCTGGCCCTGGGCGTCCCGGGCCGCGGCGCTGCTGAAGCTGCCCCGCAGGGTCTTGCCCTGGCCGCCCTGCGGCCACCAGCAGCTGCACGTGAGGGCGACCGCCAGCAGCCGCAGGCCGCCCATGCCCGCAGCCCGCTCGCACGCGCGCCTGGCAACCGCCCGGGGCCTGCAGCCCACGTCGGCAGCGGAGGGCGGGGCGGGGCGGGGCGGAGGGGCGTGGAGCCCGAGTGTGACGGCCAATGAGGCGCGGGATCACCGCCCACGAGCCGGAAACGGCAGCCAATCATCGGCCGTGGTGGGCGGGACGCGCAGCCCTGCGGGTTCCAGTGCTCCCCCGCGGGCGGCTGGTTGGCGCCTAGGTTTGAACCGAGTCCCCGGGATGCTGTTTGGGGGCGGATACTGGAAACGAATCATCCTAGTGGCCCTGGCGCTCTCGCTCCTGCACTGCGCACTGGCGTGCGCGCCTGTCATTGACGTCTGAGGCCTTCCAGGAAAGAACTGAGAGATGCGTGGCCGCCGAACGACCGCTGCCAGGAAAACTCACTGAAAGTTGGACAAGGCTCTTTGCTGTTTCTCCCCTGCGTCTACGCCCACTTTTCATGCTGCAAGGACGCTTCACATGTCCAAAGTGGAAAGCCTAACTTCTCTTGGCACGAAGACGATTTTTCCTTCCATGAATAGGGTTCCCGGACGCTGAGAATTACAACGACCATGTTCCTTGCGCGTCTGATCAAATATATCCATCTGCCTTTCTCCTGGTGACGATAAGAAGCAGCCGCCACTGCCATCACTTAACTGGCTTGTAGCAACTGACCTCCCTCCGGTGTTCCGGTGTTAAATTCTACTTAGCTACACTCCACCGCTGACTGTAAAGTTACAGAATGCTTAAAGAGAAAAAAAAAATACACCTTTTCCCAGCATCGCTTTCCTTCATCGCGTTTAGCACACAACCCTCGCTCTTCTGAATATGCGCTCAAGTACTTCAAATGCCCATCTCTCAACGAATGCCCCTCCTCACACTATCAATTCCATAAACGCTCCAAGGCTCTGTGTTGATGAGATTTGCAGATTCTTCTGGCTGCAGTACTTCTTACTCAACCACTCCTCCTTTGCTTGACTTTGTATCATTTTCCCCCCAGCATACTTGAAGAAGCCTAAATTTCTGACACCTGAGTCTGGGTTGGATTCCAGTGGAACCAGAATACCTCACTCCCCTGTCAGATCACGAGCTACACGTGTGGTTTTGTAAATTCTTCTGACTTTCTCACTCTGTTGTAAGTTGCAGAAGGTCAGATTCTGTGAGTGTCTTGATGAAAGCAAAAGTAGGAACCCAAAATTATTTCATGAGCAAGTATGTACAAAATATTTTCATTCAATAAGATGTCTTTATAGCATAAAACACATGTTCACAACATACCTCCCCATTTAAGTAAAGAATAAGGGTATTAATATTTTGAGACTTTTTTATGTTACCCTAGTTCTTTTTAAATGTAAGACTAATTTTCATTCAGCTTAGAAAAACATTCACAGTCAAGTGATTGAAGAAACACTTTAAGGTCTGACTTTCTAATTTCCTTGTCAATACCTAACACTGAAAGGCAGCCTCTGTTAGTATTTTCAGGAGGATCTTTTCAGATAAGCCCCTGAAAATCTATGTGGAATTAAACTAAATTTACCCAGAGACTGCCCCCAGTATTTTCGATGCCTGCATAAGAACTGCAACCTAACTTAGTGATCTTCAGCTAGTCAACAAACTCCCAACTGATCAATTACGCCTATGTATAGAAGATGCACAGTATGATTCAGAGAACCCTTTAAGAAGGCACAATTAGATCTATATAACCTGTTAAGTCTTTCCTAAACATTACCTTTAAAAGAAAAAGTTTTACTCTCCTGGATACGGGGTTTTTGTTTACACGATGTTTATGTACCGTAAGGATACAGTGCCCTCGGAGGCCAGAACAAGGCCTTCCCTTGCCCTGGAGTCGGACTGACAGGTGGTTGTCAGCCATCGTGTTGGTGCTGGGAATCCAGCCTGGCTCCTCTGGAAGAGGAGGCTGTGAACCACTGAGCTATACCCCCCACCCTTTTCTGTACATGCCGACTGCCTACGTTGCTTGGTGGCTCTCTGACCATCACTTCCTGAGCGTTGCTTCGGTTTTCACTGTTTGCTGAAATACGACTCTAGTCAATTTAGCTTGTCTAAATTTCTAATGGTATTATTGATATGCAATTTGTTCGTTCTGATAGATCTGGTCCCAGGTAAATGAAAGACCTCCATGGGGCAGAGACAATGAGCAAACTATATCATTGGCCTGTATGTTGACGAATGAACTCTAAGAGAAAAAGAAATGGTTCTGCACAGTTAGGGTATCGGTTGCTGTCTAAATTGAGTCAAGGCTGGCGCTCAAACTGAGAACTGAAGGAGACACTAGCAGACAGCACGGAGGCCAGGGTAGGACCAGCCTGGTATACAAGAAGAGAGAGGAGGACCAGGATGAGGCAGAGGGAGCCAGCGAGAGAAGAGAATAGGCTCTAATAGGGGAACCCACGGAACGTCATTATCGTGATTTCAAGTAGCCTCCTGTCTGTGATAATATGAACAGTCAAACAGAATTTGGCAATGCAACTTCGCGTTTCCACACTGCGTACAGTCCTGAGGTTTCTTAGGGGTTAGTCTGGGTTAGTCTACCGACGGAACTGAAGTGCAAGAACGAAGACACCGGGGCTAGAGAGATGTCTCAGCGCTTAAGAGCACTGACTGCCGTTCCAGAGGACCCTGGTTCAATACCCAGCACCCACATGGCCGCTGACAACTGTCTGTAACCCCAGTTCCAGGAGACTAGAGACCCATAGGAAAAACGCCAGTGCACATCAATAAAGAAAGAATGAAAGAATGAAGACATCCATTCATTAACTCTACCTATAGAAGTAGCCCATGCGGGCTGCACTGGCCTAGAAAACATCCCAGACCCTAGCTCCCCAGGGACCCCAGTTTCTCCCAGCAGGTGGGCCCAGGCATCCAGCACCGCGCCTGCGCAGTGCCACGGCCGGCCACGCCCCTCGGAGAACCCGGAAGCCGCTGCGGACTTCCTTTTTCACGTGTCGCGGGCGGGGACGCGTCGCAAAAACGTCGCGCTGGCTGGCACTTCCCGGTGGTCCAAGCTTCCGCGCTCTACGGCGCGTGGCGCTGGCGCTGGCGCTGGCGCTGGCCGAGCGCAGAGATGTCGGCGGCGGGCCGGGAGGAGCCCTGCGGTCCTCCCGGCGGCTGCTACGCGAAGCGGGTGCTGGTGACCGGGGGCGCCGGCTTCATGTAGGTAGCGCTGCTGGTGGCCGAGTCGCTCGGCACCGCCCCGACCTTTGCCCGCGGCTCGCCCGGCCTTTGGCGCGGGGCGGGCGCTTGGAGGGTCCCCGGGCGGGCGGGAGGGCGCTGCTGCACGGTCGGGACGCGCGCCCCTCCTCCCGGACCTTGGGGCCCGCAGTAGCGAGGTTGCCTGGAGCCTGCGGCTTCCGGGGCCCTCGCCTGCCACCTGTCACTTTCTGGAGGCGCGCGCGTTCAAAGCTCCCTCTCTCTGCCGAGCCTCCCTCCAGCACGCCCAGGCCTGTCCAGAAGCACGCGATGCTCTCTTTTGTTTTGTTTGTTTGTTTCTCTTTAAGAACACGTTTGCAGGTCCTCGGGGGTGAGCGCCTTGTGCGAGGCTCGCACGCAGGCTGCACGAGCCCGCCCCCCTTCCTGGAGGTGTAGGGAAAAGGGACCAGTCAAAGAAACACACCCTGAGCAGAGCCAAAGAAACACTTTGGCCCTGCAACCAGAACCAAAGAAATGCATGCACCCTGACTCTGATTCCAGAGACAAAGTGTGTTTCTTTGACTGGTGCCTTTTCCCTACAAGGAGTGATCCTTAATTTTGACTTCTCACCTCGGTTCCTTCTTTTGCTCGGAACACGGCTGCCGCCCCCTCCCCTGGTGGAGCCCCCTGTGCTTTCCTTAGGCTCCGCCAAGCGTGTCCCTCGCACGCAGGGAAGTCGTGGCTTTTAAGGAAGTGAGACGCCCCTGCCACTTAGAATTCTGTACCTGTGGCTTCTGTGAGGCTTGCGAGCCCAGCGTCTTGATACGATCTGGAAGGCTCAAGCGGCGCAAGCCCTGCTTCCCCCAACCTATATCCTCTGGCTTTTCCTGTACTCGCCACAGCCCTCTTGGGGTTCTCAGAGCACAGCACGGGACGCTAGGGCCCCTTCCTGACTTGAGACATTTGAGCTTCTCTCTTTGCTTAGGTTGTCTGTACTCTTCAGGTCAGGTGTTTATGTTAACCCCATTCCAACTTCAGAGTCCTTACAGGACGACCGTAGGTAACCGACACAGTTAACATGGCCTGAAGTTGCCTTGTTTGTATTTACTTGTTCATGGCCTTGTCCCCCTTCTGGAATATACGCCCCGTGAGGGCAGACCGATATTCACGAAGCACCTGCAGAAAGCAAGGTCTGGTCCCGTTTTTTTCCGGAGGTCTTCAGTAATAGTGGGGTGCGTAAGTGACAGACAGCATCCTCTTCCGCCCTCGGGGAGCGGTGTCTCCTGCATGGCGACACAGAGACTCTTGTTTACTGCAATGACATGCAGTGGACCTTTTAAATCCGACGGTCACTTTGCTGAGGGTGCCAGGAAGCCACGTTTCACTTTAAGGAACGCGAGTGTGCATGTGGGAAAGAGCTTGTAGTTGCTTGGAAGGCTTGGTCCACGAGAACGTCCTAGAAAGTGAGGAAAGGGCCGTCGAGTATAAACGCCATTACTCCCAGGAACCCAAAGTGCGTTTGGGTTTGAAAATATCTGGCACCTCCTTTTACTGGGATAGCTCCTTTTCAGGGTCCACTGATAACCCGGGAGGCAGTGTCAGTCCCCAACTTAGATAGTGTCAACTCTTATCAGCCTAGGAAAAGCTGTGTTCAGTCCAGGACCCTCCTGAGGTTTTCAGGCTCACACAGGCAACTTCTAAGTTCCAAGAGAGAGCAGCTGCGGAAGTCGGTATAAACGTAGGCTGATGACGGCGTCTATGCTGAAGTAATGTCTGTGTAGTTACCTTGCAGCCCCTGAAAAGGCAAATTCGTCTCAGCGTACTTGCTCAGAGTAGATCTTATATTTTTCATGCTCACACTCACAGCATGCCTGGGCAGCATCATTTA